CTTAAAAGAAGCACAATGGGACTTACCATTTTTCCAGCTTTTACCCCAAGGACCTCCAGCCACCTGCTGCCTGAACAGCCATGTGTCTGCCCAATGGGGCTGCGTCTGGCACGGTGCTCAGGCCACGCCGTCCACCAACCAGGCTAACCACATGGATGCTCAGGAGGAGTTGGGGCTGTTTCGGCTGCAGGAGTGAGACATCAGGCCCAGAGTGGAGGAAGCCACGGCCCGATGACACTTCACGCACGGGCGTTGGGCCATTTATTTTCCCCCAATGATCAAGGAAACAACACCCTGCCTTTTTCCTTTGATTCTCTTCTTGTTTGGGGCGCGTGGATTGTGTCTGCTGCCTGGCTGTGAACAGAGAGAAGAAGTGCTCCAGACGGACACTGGGTGCACCGTAGTGGCTTTTCCACATGGCGCTGAAGGTTTTGATTAAAGAGGTGGAAAAATGGAGCTTTTTCTTCTTGTCAGCCAGGCTGTAAATCAACCTTGGAGTAAGGAAATGCTGCCCAAGGCTGCTGTTCGGGGACCTCTCTCCTTTGTCTTCTGGTTGGGATTGTATAAGCAGGTTTAATTTCAAGCCAGGATTTGGGGTTGGAACAAGCCCCCATTTGCCCACCTCCTGCCAATCCTGCTTTCTTCACCCAGTTCCCATCCCTGGAGTCGAGCAAGCTGGGCTGAGTTAGTTCACGGAACTCAGAACCAGCCAACTGGAGGGTGTGGGGAGAGAAGCGAGGACAGAGGAAGCCCCAGTGACTTGGGCAGCATTTGCAGGGCCCTCTGAGCGTCTGGCCTTGACTCTGGTTTCACAGATGGTGACTAGTCTGGATTCTTGGCGGCAGGTGGTAGATACTTAACTCCCGGCTGCTCAAACAGAGGGGGAATCTATTGGAAGAGTGAAGGATAGGATCCAATGAAACCAGGCACCTGAGCTGAGGAATGCCCCCTCCAGGCCTTCTCCCAGGGCAGCTCCAGCTCCTCCCCCAGCCGGCCCCAGGCCTCCAGCCCACGGTTTCTGCCTGAGACAAGCACTGACCCTCCAACCAGCGAGAATGAGAAAACCCCAAAGGAGAACTCTGACTCATCCAGGTGTCATGAAGGCAGGGAGGAGACCAGATGGCCTCATGAAGGCTCTTCTGCTGGGCAGACTCCCTTGCTCTCAGCCTCCCTGTCCCCTGCTCTGGGAGTGCACGTGCGCACACACATATTTCGCAAATATATTGAGCGCCTAATCCATGCCAGGAGCATCATCAGTGCATTTCAGCAAAGTGGACTGGAGAGACGATAGGCTTGGGAGCCAGGCAGGCCTGGGTTTGAACCTCAGCTCCACTGTTGTGGATTCTCTCTCCGAGCTCGGATCGGGTACTCGCTGCTCACAAGCATGGTGCTCCACTCTGCTGAGGCAGGAACAACAACATTCCCGCCCCTCAAGCTCTCTAAGGCTCAGTTTCCACATCTGGGACTCTGGAACAACCAGTCCCACGTTGCGGCATTGCTTTGGGGAGCAACAGAAGTATACATTTGTGGGGAAACTCACGTCGAGGGGCCAGGGACTGTCAGGCCAGCCCCTCTCCTGGGGGCCCACCACTGCCTCCAGGCCTGGCTCCTGCTGGAGGCTGACTGCCTCCGCTGCCCCCACCCACGGCTGGCCCTGGCACTCTGTGCACAGAGCTTCCCGCAGCTGATGCAGATCCCCTCGTGAAGGATCGAAGGGTGGCCAGGGTATGGCTGTGGGCATGCCTCTCCCCTGTTCCTGTCCTGGAGGAGAAATAGGGGTGGCCCCCTAAGAACGGTTGCCTCCATCCTGGTGTGTGCAGGGCAGGCAAACCCCCAGGCAGCCCCTCGTTTAGGAGGAAGGGGACCCCCCTTGAACCCCTTTCTTCCAGAGTGTCTTGCCTCTCTCCTGCTCAGTTTTTCCTGAAAGCCAAGTCTGTCCATGTAGGGAAATTGCAAATAGTTTACATGGGGAATGTCAGCTATCCACGTATGAAAATATACACATCATTAAGCCCTAAGTACTTGCGTCTGGAGATAGAACGGACCGTCTCCTGGGCTGACCTTTTGTCCACTGACGGAACCGCTGCTAATGAGCGGGAGCTCCTTGGTGGGATGTTTTCATATGTTGAAGTGAGGCGTATGTTGGCCATTAGCCTGTGTGTGTGTGTGTGCACATGTGCGGGGGGTCTGTAGGACAGTGCAATATAAATAGCATTTGCCAAAACATGCAGAGCCCACTGCAAGGCATTATCCAGCCCCCATGGGCATCCAAGGAGGGCTTGCTCTTGAAGGCCACAGTCGTATCCTCCTCACACTATCCGAGAAGGACTGTGGCGTCCTTGGAGGACGTGACGGTGCTTGGGCATAAGGCTCTCTGACCAGCTTGCCTGGGTTTGAATCCTGTCTTTGCTTCCATGCTCTGTGTGACCTTGGGCAAGTTACTTAACTTCTCTGAGCCTATTTCTGCATCTGTAAAATGGAGATAATAATAATAAAACCTACCTTGAGAGGATTAAAAAAGATAACCCCACGTAAAGCTCCCAGGACTTAGCATATGGTAAGTGCTTAAGAAGTGGCAGTGATGATGGTGATGACAATTGTCACTGGGAGGTGGGATTGGGTGGAAGGTCCTGCCTGCTCAGAGAATCATCTTGGATGAGGTTGCGTTGGAAGCGGGTTCTGAAGACTAGCTGGGATTTGGATGTGCCATGATGGAGTGGGAAGGGCTCCTTCCAAGGGAACGAGCAAAAGCCCAGTGGTGGCTGGAAAGCCAGAGCTTGCCCAGGAAACAGTGAGTGTCAGGTGAGAGCACTGGCAAGCAGAGGGCAGGAAGGGGAAGCAGGTCGGGGAGGACATTGGGGCCAGGTCTAAGAAGACGTTGGACTTAGTCCTCTGGCAGTGGGGACCAACGATGCCGTGTGGTGCAGAAAAACTCCCTTAGGGGCCGTTGTGTCAAATGCCAGAGCAAGTGGTATCAGAGACCTGTGAGGGGCCTACTGAGTGCTCCAGGCCAGAGAAGAGACTTCCTGAAACCAGGGCAGTGAGGTGGGGATGGAGAGGAGGCGTGGGTGGGAGGGATACCAGGGCTAAGATTGCTGTGCGCGCATGCTGCCGTCTGTGAAATGGGGACTAGTTGGTTTTGAGTGGGGCCAGTGAGACCGGAGTTCTATCCTTCCCCCAGAGCCGGCTCAGGACCCCTGATTTAGAGTCTGTGCAGCTCAGATCCACTCCCCAACTCTGAGGCCCGCCATGAAGCCGCTCCAGATATCGATCCCGGCTCTACCATGGGCCAGCAGTGTGATGTTGGAGGGGTCCCTTCTCTCAGTTTCCCCATCTCTGCCATGAGTGGTTGAATCAGTTAAGCCTTCTGTGATCTCTGCTCCATCTCGGGTCCTGGATCTCTGAACAAGTATAGGGCATGTGTTTCCAGAAGGCCCTGAGGGTGGCACCAGGGGCGCTCACTTCAGGATTATTGATGACTACTGAGGAGGTGTGGGGGGTGGTTCTGAAGAACCTTTCACGGCCCTTCAGTCATGCTCCATCCCTACACGCCTCCAGGGGCTGTTTCCATTTCCACTCTGACATCCTGAAACAGGAGGCCTTGAAGTCGGGAGAATCTTTGGAAACAAGGTCCTCAGACATGTGGAGATTCTCACTGATGCAGGAAATGGTGTGCCTTCCTCCTGCCAGTCATCGCGGTGCAGAGGGAGACAGCAGTGCCCAGGGAGAGCAGGTGCAGCCGATGGCAGCTGCACTTGGAATGCCACCCCTGGGGCTGATTCAGCAATCAGTGGCTGCCCGGGGAGAGAACCAGCCCCCAAGAGATAGCAGCACACCCCGTCAGCTGTTCCGGCTTATTAACATTCTCTAGATGAGTCCTCCCCGCTCTGAGCTGCACCCCCTACTGCCCCCTGCTCACTCCAGCCTCCAGGCCTTGTCCCCAGCAGTCCCCCTCCACCTGGAAATCCAGCCTCCCCCTCAAGATCCAGCTGTCTTCCCTCTCCAGGTCTCCCTCCCAAACTGATCTCGCATTTTTTCTCTCAACTGCTATTGCAAAGGCCACACTCCTCAGGTCTGAGATGAATCACTTGGTAATTATTTCAGGTGTGCCATCTGGCCTCCCTACTCTTGGAGGACACGGAGGCCGGTCTACCTGTGGGGTGTCTGCGCCAGGAAGCACAGGGGCCTGGGGGTTCAATAGCGCCATCTTGTGGATGACTGCTGGGCTGGCCTCGGCAGAGCTGGGGTTGGGCGGTCAGCCTGCCCTGGGGCTTCAGTCCCTCTCGCTGCATAGCCACTGAGGGTGGGCGTTGAACATCCGAGGGAGGCAGAACCTTGGGTGTGGTGGGTGATCAGCACATGCTTCCTGGACTGAGGACTGAGTAAAGCTCCCCTGGGGTGGCTTCCTACCCAGGCCAGGCCCGTGTCTTCCCCACCACCATCCCTCCCTCCCCAGCCTGCCTCAGTGTCTGAAATGCTCCCGACTGTCCTGCTTGGGTTAAGCACAGAAGGCCCTTGTGAAGCTGCAGTTATGACCCGAGAGGGGCGAAGCCTTGAGCAATTGCAGCACAGGAGGTTCTGGGGTGGTGTCAGCCTTCCCATAGGTAATCACCATTAGCCTGCAGGTCACCCCAAACCAAGCACATGCTCGCTCCAAAGCCATCGCTATGCAAACACAGCTTCACGACAATCCTTAGCTCTTCTATCCAACCAGTCTGCCCCCCAACTAAAATCCTGAGGCCTCTTTAAAATCCCACGGCCACCAGTGCATTGAATCATATACTGGTCGTCAATACCGTGCCTGAATATGGCGGAGGTTTTGATGGAGCGGAGGATGAGAGAGGTCTGGCTTAGGCCACGTGTCGAAGTTTAGGGTCACAGGCAGTGGAGGCTGCATGAGGGCTCTGAGAACTTAACAGGAGGTTGGGGACCAAAGGAAGGAGAGGGGCTTGGAGAGGAGTGAAGATGCAAAGCCCACTGGACCGCTCATCCATTTCCAGGGGCTGCCTGCTCCTGTTCACAGTGGCCTGAAGGGCTCTGCTCAGTGCACTGTGGTGCCCAGGAAAACACCTCTGCAGCCTCCATCTCTTGTTGCCCTACAAGGTGCATTCTGGTTAACACAGAGCGCAGGAGCTCCCTGGATCCCCAGAACCTGTGGCGTAAGTATCAGGAACAGCAGAGAGGGAGTCTGGGCCATAGCGGGAAGGAGGTAAGAAGGAGCGAGCGCTCTGAGAGATTCCCAGGAGGGACTACAGCCCACCAGGCACATGCTGCGTCTGTCCTACCACTGGAACTGCTGGCAGCCTGGCCCCGTCCGAGCGCGGCCCCTAGTTCCTCTGGTGTAGGAGATGGACTCAAGGTCAGCTTCTCATTCCACACGGGCCAGTGGAGCAGGCTCTTTCCCCTCCGGGGGAAGGAGGCTCTTATCCGGAGGTACAGACTTACAGAGAGTAGAGAAAGCACCACCAAGCTTTAATGCCACCGCTGTCCCACCCTCCAGCCTCAGGGTGGAAGAAATGAGGAGAAGCCTGAGCCGCAGAGAGAAGCCAGGTGCAGATTCTTTTGCTCCAAGCGTGACTTCAGGGGTAGGACAGGTGGCCCTGCAGCCCACAGTTCCTCAAGGAAGCCAAGTCCTTTCTCGTCAGGCCACAGGGGGAGAGCTCTCTGGTCAGTGGTCCCGGGCAGATGTAGCCATGTCCCCGAGGCATGTCTTACTATCTTACACTGTCCCAGGTGTTGGCTATGGAGCTCTCCTTAAGGAAAGCTGGGGGTCATCCTGACTGTCCTTCTGGCAGGGCTGGGCAGACTGGGCACAATGAGGTTAGCCAGCTGGTTAGCTTCAGCTTCCCAAGACCGTCAGGAGGCCAAGCACTCGTGGCGGAGCCTCCGGCAGAGAAACCCTGTGTCCAGTCCTTCCTCCAGGCCCCGGAAGCCATGCCACCAAGAGCTAATTCCACACGTTTGAAAGGAAACTTGGTACCTAAATTCACACTGGTACTTGTTAAAGTCAAGGCCTGCCATCTGGAGACTATTGAGTGACCAAAGAAATAAAGTGTCACTTCAAAGTACCGCTGGCCTGAGGGGGCCTAGGCCCCAGGGGGAGTTTTACCAGAGACCTCCACCAAGACGCCTTCTCCCGGTTGCTTTCAGCTCTGCAAATCTCTAAGGGCCTTGGGGCCTTTGGTTTGGTTAGAAATTAGAGGAACATCTTTAACAGGGAGGAGGATGGTACCCATCCTTCCTCCCCACCCTGACCCTAAGCTTCATCCCAGAGGGACAGTCCCTGCTAGAGAGAGCCACAGTGTGCCCAACCCTAGCCCTCCTGGCACACCTGAGTCCTCAGTGCAGTGAGAATGGCAATCCTGTCCAGAGCCCGCCTGGCCTCCCTTCCCCAGCCCACCTCACAGGCCCCCTGGGACCAGAAGGGGTACGCTTCCTGGAAAGAGATCTGAAATGGCATAGGATTGTCCTGGCTCAAGTCGCAGGGGCTAGATTGCAGGGGGCTGTGGTTGCTGGGGCCCCACAGCCCTCTGAGCATCCTTTTTCTTATGTGATGTGGCAGACCTTGCACGCAGGCTTCGGAGAACCTTGCATTGGGTCTCCCTTTGAAACGAGCTCCCCTGCATGGAGGGGCAAGAGCGACACCCTCTGCTTCCATTGATGCAAATAACAAACGTCCGCTGAAATGCCCCTTTGAGTAGGTGCTGGTCTCACCCTCCTGGCAGGTTTGGGTTTCCGTTCCCAACTTAAGCTGGCCAACAGCTTCTTATTGCCTTTTTATTGGCGAAGGTGTCACTCCCTGGAGTCACTTGAAAGGGGTTTTGGTTGGAATCGCTTAATCTCTTCATGTTGAGCCAAAGGCTGAGTTTAAACCTGTGGTCGTTAAACCAAACGCATTATTACCCGCTCATTAACTCCCGTCAGGGCTTGGACTGTGGGCAGCATCCCCAGAGCCCTCCCGCCAGCCAACCCCAAAGAAGGAGAGTGGTGTGACTTCATGCGCACAGCTGGGTCCCTCCTAGATCCTGGACAGCCCCTCCCATCTGCTTAGGAGGAAGCCGAGTGGCTGAGAAGGGAGCCCAGTTGGCTGTCCTCTGTGCAGGTGGGAGGGCCCGTGAGGAGGGGGAGGTCTGAGGCCAAATGCTGCTTTGCCTCTGACCTCATCCTCTGTGAAACCTTTCCCAGATGACCCCACCCCGCAATGATCTCCCCCTTCTCCGAACCCAGCGGCTCATTGCCCTGAGCTGCGTCATCTTCCATGTAAGTTCTGCCTGCTTCTGCTGCTGGAGGGCCTCACAGTGCCCTGGTCAGCCCCAGGGCTAAGCTCACACCTCAGGGGCCTCCTAGGAGATGGTGTGGGTGAGGGAAGCACAGGTGGCCCAGACGCCCCACCACCTCCAACCAGATTCGCTCTAGACCCACCCAACCTGGGTTCAAATCCCCTCTGTCACTTACTGGCTGGGTGACCTTGGGCAATTGACTTAACCTTTCTGAACCTCAGTTTCCTCATCTGCGAAGTGAGCATCATAATAGTATCTGCCTCACGGAGCCTTAATGAAGATTAAATGAAATAATGCATGGAAGGTATTTCATTCAGAGCCTGAGCAGAGTGGACCGCAATATTGATAAAACCATTGCTACCCATTATATTATTTCTATTGGTTTTAAATATTGGGTCTACCAATAAATTTCATTTGGAAGAGGAGAAGAGAAGTTTGCTACTGAAAGAGTTTGAGAGCCGTTGAGTTCCAACCAGTTCATTTTATACACCGCCACAGATAGCCAAGAGAGGCAAAATAACTCTTCTGTTAGGATATTACTTTATTTCACTTAGGTCTTACTGGAGAAAAAGTGCTTTGAGGCCGAGGACCACACTGACTTCACCTTTTAACAGCCCCCCACCCCACCCCAATGTGCCCCACACTGGGCTGGGCCTACTGTGGGCAAGGGCGCCCTCCCTGGGTGAAGTCTGATGACAAAGTGGTGGTACATCTGAGTGCATGCAGGTGTGCAACTCGTGTGCCTCTTCTGAGGTCCAGGAAATGGTTCTGTTTCTCCCATGGCCCACCCACTCAACATCTCTCGTCTTTGCTGACCCACCTCAGGTTCAAGGGCATTTCCTGGCACAACACATTGTGCCATCTTGCTCAGTAACAAATATTACCGCGGGCACCAGTTCTGAGCCGGGCTCTGGATCCTGCAAACCAAGGTTGTATCAGCTCTCCTTCTGAGGCAAGTTTGCCCATGGCCTTGGGGTTTGTTCTAGTATTTGATTGCTCTGAAGTAGCCTGCAGTTATTCATCCCCAAGAGACTCAGCTGCCAGAATTCCCGAGAAAGTTCCCCAAGTCTTAGAAGCAAAAATCCTACAATTATCAATTCCCAAATTTCAAAGGACCCGTAGGGCGTCTCTGGAGCATCTCCTTCCTGTTACAGAGGAGGAGATGGAGGCACAAAATGGCCAAGGGCTGAGTCAGACCAGAGCTTGGGGCTCCTTCTGCCACGTGAGCATCTTTTCTGCAAAAGGAGCAGCAGTTGCCCCAGAAGCCAGTCCTCTGGGGGTTGCCCTTCCGCAGTCTCATTCAGCAGATTTTTAGTGTGAGGAGGGCAGAGAAGGGCAGAAGCTGGGGGGAGCCACCACTGCCCAGAATTGGTGACAGCAAACAAGCCTGCTATTCTGTGTCACTGGCTTGCAGCATTTACCATGACAGCAGCTCCCCCACACCGGAGGCCTCCCCCACCCAGGGGCTGGGTGCCTCTCAGGCCTTGCTGGGCAGGGAGGCGCCCCGTGGGCAGGGGAAGGCCTGCAGAGAGGGCAGGGCCTGGGAGAGAAAGGAAGAAGGGAGGAAGGAAGGAATGGGGCATTCTGAACCGTGGGGAATAGAAAATGAGCCGCTCATTTCCTTCTCCAGGGCTGTGCCAGGCTGCCGCTGCAGGCTTCCCTCCACCCCCGGGATCAGCCCCCCAGACACCACCCAATGGGCTTAGCAGAGTAACCAGCCCCAGGGTTGCATTTCTTTCTTTCTTTCTTTCTTTTGAGGAAGATTAGCCCTGAGCTAACTGCTGCCAGTCCTCCTCTTTTTGCTGTGGAAGGCTGGCCCTGAGCTAACATCTGTGCCCATCTTCCTCTGCTTTATATATGGGATGCCTACCACAGCATGGCGTGCCAAGCGGTGCCATGTCTGCACCCGGGATCCCAACCGATGAACCCCAGGCTGCCGAGAAGTGGAACGTGCGCACTTGACCGCTGTGCCACCAGGCTGGTCCCCAAAGGGTCGCATTTCAATAGCTGGGAAGAGAAAGCAAGCCTTTCAGATTTTAGTGTTTTGGGAAAAAAGATGTGTTTACACCCTGTCTTTCTGAACCCACTTCCAGCAATTTTCTGAATTATCCCTGTGATTTCTTAAAAACCCACCTCGTGGCCCAGCTGGTTAGCGAACAAAGCTGGCGGAGGGTGTGTGGCGGGAGGAAGGGGTGTGGGCGTGGGCGGGCTGCCTTCTGGCTGTCCCGGCACCTTCCCAGAGGTGGCTGCTGCTCCTGGGTAGGACGTGGAAACTCTCAGAACTGTCCTTTCGAACTTGAAATATTTAGCCAGGCAGCTTAACCTAGAAGGAGAACAAAATGACAGTGGTCACGTTGATTGCACACTTTCTACTACTGGGCCAAAGGCCTGGCCTGGAGCTGTCTTTGATTCCTGGAGAAACTATTATTCCTGATCATCTTCCTGATGACTGAGGCTGAGCAGTCAAGACCAAAGTTCTCCAGCTACAAGCAGCAGATCTGGGGTTTGAACTTGGGTCTGTCCACGCTGAAGCTGTACCCATTATCAGTGTTCTGCGGATGAGGGCAGTGAGGCTCAGAGGAGTCATGTGACCTTCCCGAGGTCACACAGACTGAAAGTGGCAGAGCCAGAAATCTGACCCTCAGTCCGGGCTTGTTCACCCCCTTCCAGCCCAGCCACCTGCCGGCGCCACCAGACCCAGGAGTGGGCGGGAGGGGGAGACGGCTGCCCACCATGTGCTGGGGCGGGGCGGCTGTGTGCCCCACGCTTGTGGGCAGCCCTGGCCACCCTGCCCTCCCCCTCACGGACGCCTCCTCTTCTCTCGCTCCCTCCAGTCCTCAGTTTTCATTGCGCAAGTCGGCCAGGACCTGGTCTCCCAGGCAGAGGAGAAGCTCCTTCAGAGGCCCTGCAAAGAACTCTTTTCTGCTTGTGCGCAGTAAGTGCTCCCACCCGCCTGGGCTCCCTCCCTTCCCGGCTGGGCATCAGGCCCCTCGGCCACCTGGAGGGGCTGCCGCTAGCCTCCACCTGGAACGCTGGGTACCGGGGGCAGGTCTTCAGTGGCCCAGAGCCCCAGCCAAGCCACCCAGCCGTTTGTATACTTCTTATGAAGGGGAACAGATACCAGGCTGCCAAGTCCAAAGAAAACATCTGCTTCCAAGAGTGTTGAAAGCAAGTGGCTCTGCAGGCTGTTGAGACAGAGGAATGTGCAAAAATGTGACCCGCTCTGGGTGGTTTGGAACTTCTTCCCAGGCCCCCCAGTTCCCACCACTGCCACCAACCAGAGCGGGTGGCGCTGCTGCTGCAGGAGAGGGGCTGCGGGCTGCCTTCTCAGCCTCAGCTGGTCACCTGTCTGCAGCCTGCGCAGGGACCCTAATGGAATGTGAGACAAGTTGGTGGGTGTGGTGCCAGCCGTGCATCAATTAAGCCCCTACCTGTCCTGCACACACATGTGCTATGAAAGCGAAACACACACATGTCTGTGTGCCTACACACATACCACTCCCCATGAGCTGACACACGCACACACACAAACATACATGCACGCCAAGAGCCGTCCAGAACCAGATCACCCCACACAACTGGATGAGTCTAGGAGCTCTTTGTGTGCCCTTGTTCGGCTTTTGCACCACAGACATTAATTGGGTGCCTGCTGTATGCTTGGCACTATGCTAGGTATTGGGAGGATACCATGGTGAACAAGAACCCAGTGCCACCTTTAATGGAGCTTACTGCCAGGCAGGGAAGACAAGACAGCCAGCGCCCCTAGGCACTGGGAGCATGATGATAAGAACAGAGAGCCAGCTTGGGGCTCAGCTCTGTGTTAGGGGCCAAGAAGAGGCCACTGTGAGCAGAAACAAACCTGGTTGCTGTCCTCTTGGAGCTGGTCGAGGGTCAGATATGACAGTGGGCGAGGTCCCTGAACTGTCACCCTGACCCTCCAGGAGTGCCCATCACGGCCTCCCACGCCAACCCCTGTTTCCAAGTTTGGCAGGACACAGCCTCCAACATGCCCCCACTCTGCATGTCCGCTCCCTCTCCTGGGTCCCAAGGGCCTGGGCCGGATTGCTCAGCAGTGCCACTTTTCAAAGGGAAGAAGCCTGCCCTGCCTGCAGCCAGGTGCTGAACCCTCCAGGGGGACCACAGCAAGTGACCAGTAAATTCTGCTGCAGGGACGAAAATCTCCCAGGCACTTCGCTGGTTCCAGACCAAGTCCAGAGCCTGGGCCCTCAGGAGTCTCCTCCCCGCTCTGCTCCCCACCACCCACCGCCTCCGAGTCCCAGCCCCTCCCCTGCATGTGGTTAAGTCTGACTGTTCTCATCGCAGCTCATGTCCCTTCTTCAGAGAGATCTGTCTGACCCCCCAGGGACCTCACTTGACTCTAATTCATGAAACAGGTCCCTGGGGTCATTTATTTAATGTTTGTGGTTTGTGACCCCATCACAATGCCAACTGGATGCTCCCTGCTGTACCCCAGAGCCCAGAGCAACACCATGGCTGGTGCTCGATAAATATTGACTGGCGGGATCAGGCAGTCCATCTCCACCAACCTTTGCAGAATGACGGGCCTCTGGCCCCTCGGGCCGCATCTGCCCCGTGTGTTTGCGTTTCCAAAGTCAGGAAATGAATGAGGTCGGGTGTGACTCTGCTGGATATGGCTCTGCCCATCTGCTTCGAGATGGAGATGATAAAATGGTCCTCTGTTTGTTCCCTCTGAGCCAGGTCCGTCCACGACTATCTGAGGGGAGAGCCTTTCCACGAGTACCTGGACAGCATGTATTTTGATCGCTTTCTCCAGTGGAAGTGGTTGGAACGGTGAGCGCTCCTTTGGCACACCCCATGCATGAGTGTGTGCCAATGTGTGTATGTCGGGGGGCGGGGGGTGTACAGGTTTTTCACCTGAGAAGTCATATAAAAATCAGTTACCTCCATGGGCCCAAGGTTCAAATAAAATTAACCATCCTCCTCCTGTTAATTAAGTTCTTTTGTATTCTTCTAGAAATGCTGTCTGCTTATTAAAGTGTACACACACACAGGCACCCACTCATGTACACATACGCACAACATCTTGTTCCTGCTTTTTTGGTTCACTGTCCGGGAATTCTTCCTCTGCCAACAAATAGAGAGCTGGAATGCATTGTACCTGCCTTATTTAAGCCAATCCCCTATTGATGGGCATGGAGGTTGCTCTCAATTTTGTGTGCATCCTTTCCTAAGTAATGAATAGCTATGTACATATATCTTTATGTTCTTTTGCAAGTAACATCCGTAGAAATTCTTACTAGAAGAATTTTGGAGTCAAAGAGCCCCGTTTTAAAGCTGTGAGGGGCTGCCAAATTGCCCTCCCCAACAGCTGCCCTCACTCCAGTCCTTCCAGCGCCCCACTGCCCACTTCCTATCAGCTTCTTCAACACCATTCTTGTGTTTTCCTGTCTGGCACATGGGCAATGGGATTTCCATCTTGTTTATCTTTCATCTCCACTAATGGGTGAGACTGAGTGTCTTTTCACGTTCTGTTTGCTGCCTTATTCGCTGCAAAGTGCTCTCACACGCACGGTGGTGACAGCCAGGCCGATGCGGCCTCCATGTGACTGATGAGGCAGGAGAGCCACAGAGGGGATGTGGCTTTCCTCGTCCCCCAGCAAGCTAGTAGTGTAGCTGAGGGGGGACCCTGGCCCGGGCCCCCCAGAGCGATGCTCTGCCTGCCACACCATTGCAGGATTTGCAGGACAGAGCGACGCCTGTGTTAGGTCCCTGCTGGGCTAAGCTGGCAGACGAGATGGGAGCGTCCCCTTCCAGAACCTGGGCTGCCCTGTGCCCCTGAGGCCTGGCACCCACGGCCATCTGGGCACCTGTGGTGGGACAGCAAGGGGCCATCATGCTCCTGCATGGATATCCACACCTTCGCTGGCCGAGTCCCCTGCCGACGCTTTGAAGCTGCAGAACAGGGACCCCCTAAAAGCCCCATTCATGGCCCTTCCCTGCCCACTTTGGGGAGCCCAGAGGAAAACCCTGCTCTGCAGCCAATGGGGGGACACTTCTCCCACCCTCACTGGCCGGGACGACAGCAGTGGACGGCATTCTCTATTGGAGCACTGACTGCCACCGGCCACCTCGCACACGCAGCTATGGCTCAGCCTGAACGTCCTGCTGAGGGTCCTGGCGCCTCAGCCTGGTCTGAGTGCCAGCCCTGCCTTCTCCAGGGGGGCCTGGGGAAGGGCTGCTCAGCTCTCCATGCCTCAGTTTCCTCATCTGTGAAATGGGGATAATAATAGTGCCTCCTTTGTGGGCTTGGGGTGAGGATGAGAAGAGATAAGCATGGCACATGCCTAGACAAGGCCGGTGCTCAACAAAGCTCAGCTGTTCGGCCCCAGGAAGTCCGCTGCCGAATGGAGGTGCTGTGGTTGTCGGCACGATCACCAGCATCATCGTGGTCCTCATCCTCATACGTGGGATCCTGGGAGGAGCAGCTGACCCGGGTCAAGGGTCGATCCTGGTTCTGATGATCCCAGGACAGTCTGGTGGGGATGTCTTCATCGGGACTCACCCCCCGTCCTGGGGCTCTGGGCTGTGTAACATGTGGCCCCAGTCTGTGCCTACCTCCCTTGGGTGGCACTGTGGGGTCAGGACGTAGAACGTGTGCTCTGCCTCAGACTGCCTGGACTCCATTTCCAGCCCCACCACTTACCCTCCGTGACCTTGGGCAACTCGCTTCTCCTCTCGAAGCCTGAGCATGTCATCCACAGAGTAGGGACTGTAATAGTCTCACTTCCCGAGGCTGGCATGAGGATTCCATTAGTCCCTGTGCAAGGTGCTTTGAGTGTTGGGGAGTGTCACCATAAAGACTCCTGTGTCCTTTATTCCTAGAGTTCTAATAACGACACCCGACTCTCACACAGAAGCTTACAAAGAGTCTTTGGATGCAAATACCTTTTCAGTATCTCCATTTTACTGAAGATGCAAGGCTCAGAGAGGTTGATAGGTTGGCCCTGGATCACACAGCAAGGACCTGGCAAGGCTGCCGCCTGAACCCCAGGCCCCTCCCTCAAGTCTTTCACCCTTAGTCCACCTGGCACTCCTGTTCCAATAGAACCCTTTAGCTGTGGCCGCTGGCTTTCATTTTACTTGTCTGTACCAAATACATGAAATGAAGAAATGGACTTTTAAATCCATGTGCAACTGTAAAGAAGAGATGCCTTTTTGAGGCCATGAAGTTGTTGAAGCCAGTGGGGCAGGACCGTGGCCTAGACGTGCGCAAATGACTGAAATGACTGACAGCACAACCTCCTTCCCCATCTCTCTCTTTTTTTTTTTTTTTTTTTGCTAACAAGATCATGGCCTGTTCGTGCTGTACTGTTGAAATATTAAAGGGATTTTTTTTCCCTCCCAAGGTTAACCAAGAAATTCCTCGGAAATTGTATTACCCTCGTTTCCCCTAGCAGAGGAGTTCTGCGGTAATGTCGACCGACTGTTTGTTCTCCATGTATCGTAAACTGTTAGGCGCAATGCCTTCATGTGGTTTCGAGGGCAGCTGGAGGAAACGCTTCCCCGGCCCACATGGCGGGTGCTGGCGCATGGCAGGTTTCTCTACGGCCGGCTGCTCGTGTGCAGAAGAAAGAGACATGGCAGTGGAGAGTCCTGCAGAGGGCCAGCTCTGTGCTCCCCACGGGGACAGGGCCCCGCTTTCTAAAGAAACACCAGGAGAGAGAGAGCGGGACACAGCACGGGACTCCAGACAGGCATGCCAGGGAGAGCCCTGGGGTTCTCAGGGCTGTCCTAAGACATCAGTGTGGTGCCAGAAATGCAATTGCCAGTGAAACCCAAATCCTCCTCAGGACCCAGCAGCGAGAAGAGTTTCCATGAGAGAGTCACTCAAGAGCTCCTGGGTGACCAGAGGCTCACTGGTCTTTCTTGAGCTGACCCAGTTCTTTGGGTCGATTTAGTCTCACTTCAATCCCTGCCCTGGTCGTTGGGGTGTGGTTTGGAGCCGTTCAAAAGAGTCCTGGAGATCTAAGAGCCATTCTAACATTGCAAAAGTTGGTTGTTCTTTATCCATTAATCAACTGACAGACATTTAGGTTGTTTTCATATCTTGACTCTTGTGAATAATGCTGCAATGAACATGGGAGTGAAAATGTGGTATGTATACACAATGGAATATTACTCATCCTTAAAAAAGAAGGAAATCCTGGGGCTGGCCCAGTGGCATAGTGGTTAAGTTCATGTGCTCTGCTTCGGTGGCCCAGAGTTTGCAGGACCTCAGCCACAGATCTACACACTCCTCAACAAGCCATGCTGTGGTGGTGTCCCACATACAAAACAGAGGAAGAACAGACAGATGTTAGCTCAGTGATAATCTTCCTCAAGTAAAAAGAGGAAGGTTGGCAACAGATGTTAGCTCAGTGCCAATCTTCCTCACCAAAAAGAAAAGAAGATGATGAAGGAAATCCTGCCATTTATGACAACATGGATGAACCTGGAGGACATTATGCAAAGTGAAATAAGCCAAACGCAGAAAGACAAATGGTGCATGACCTCACTTGTATGTGGAATCTAAAAAAGTCAGACATAGAATCAGAGAGGAGAGTGGTGGTTGCCATGGGTGGGGAGGGGATGGGAAATGGGAGATGTCGGTCAGGGGTACCAGGTTTCAGCTATGCAAGATGAACAAGTCCTGGGGATTTGACGTACAGCATGGTGACGATAGTGAATAGTATTGTATTATATACTTGAAATTTGCTACGAGGGCTGATCTTCAGTGTTCTCACCAGAGAATGAAAGAAAGGAAGGGAGGGGTAACTCTATGAGGTGAGAGAATGTTAATTCGCTTGATTGGTGATCATTTCCTGGTGTATACATATAGCAAAACATCAAGTGTACACCGTTTGTCAATTACTCCTCACTAAAGCTGAAAAAAGGAAGAAAAGCTGATTATTCTTAGCCACACAGGCCAGGGATGAAAAAGCCCAAGCTGTCTGCAACGTGGAGCCCCTCACTCCACCTCAGTGACCACTCATGTACTTACTCCAAGAAGCCCCACCCCGGCCTCTGGTCAGGGGTTCTGCAAATGGCTTTGGCCAACTAAAGTGGGGAGTCAGGACACAACTCGGTGATTGCTTCATAAATGCTACTTTGGGCAGACAGCATCTTTTGGTGTGCTGGAGGTATGGGGGAAATACAACACAGGGGCCCTCGCTGGTGGAAAGGCTGGGAACCGACCGTGGAAGATTGCCAAGAGTCGACTTAGAGACGAGCAGCCTGTGACCCTTGAGGAGGCGGGTCTTCTCGGGCTCTGCCAGGCACTGTGTCCCGCAGAAGGGAATAGCCCCAGGCTCCCGGTCACAGGAGGTGGGGACGGGGTGCAGGCCGAGATGCGCAGGTGTGGGGAGCGCTGCAGTCACCTTCCCGGCCTCCCATGGCTTCTGGCTCCTTCCCCTCTGCCTGCGGAGACGCAGCTTCCTTCTGACTTCAGCCGCATGACTCGCCTTTGGGAAAGAGGGGAAGCACACGGAAACTGCGAAAGTGCGGTGAAGCAGCTTGGGCGCATGTTTTTCAAATCATCTGCTCTTCCCTCCAAGTAGTTGCTTGCGCGTCTCTCAGGCTGCGGGGCGCCAAGGGCCAAGGCCCGGGATTTGAAACCAGCCCCAGAGCAAGTCCTGGAGGGTCCGGTCGGCAGCCACGGTTCCCGGGGGTCCCAGGGCCTGGTTTGGAGGGCGTGGCGTTGCGCCTGCGCCGGCTGCTTTCGGTGCTGCCCTGGTCTGTTTCTTACGGATTCTGCGTCTTAACGCCATGAGACCAATGTTGGATTCTTGCTTTTTTCCAGGCAACCGGTAACCAAAAACACTTTCAGGCAGTACCGAGTACTAGGAAAAGGGGGCTTTGGGGAGGTGAGTGAACATCCACATTTTCAATGGGAAGTTCTGGCCTCTGGTCCCCTTCTCTGTCCCTTCCAGGTTGGCCTAAGGGGTTCTAAGCAGGGATCCCGAGTGAAGGGCTCAGTCGTGCGCCCCCTGGTGGAGAGGGAGGGTGAGGTGCAGGGCCCTGGGGAAGGTCAGGCGTGTCTAAGGTGGGAAGGGAGGGTGTGGAGCCCTGCTGTCTGCCGCAGGGCTGGTGAGATAGCGGTGCCCTTGGAGCCAGCCTCAGGCATGGCTCAAGCCTCAAGGGGAGAAATGGGCACTCTCGATTGTGTTTGGAGGGAGAAATGAGGGCCCTAAGCGACTTGGGCGGATGATGCTGTTAATATGCACTGTTATCCTTTATCTGATCTCCCCAATACTTGAGGCAAGCCTTGTTATTCCATTTTAGAGATGAGGAAAGCTGGAAAGCTGAGGTTCAGAATGGTTAGGTGACCCAGCCAGGGCCACACAACCAATGAGGGGCTGAACTAAGACCAGACCCAAATGCCCTGGTTCCCATTTCTCTGAATTATAAAGTCAGGGATCTTGGGGTCTCCCATCACTGCCCCCCAAAATAAGCCTCTCCTACCAGCACCTAGGGCTTGAAAGTGCCCAGTAGTCAATGGCTGCATTGGGTTGGGAGCTTGCGACAGAGAAAATCTAGTTGCCTCTGAGAGAGAGCCGGTACTTTAGGCCTCAGCCAGTCTAAATGTTGGCATAGATGGCTGATCCTGTGCCTGCCAGGGCTACGATTCACCTAAGGGAGGAGGAGGCAGGGCAAGGTGGCGCTGCAGCCAAATCTTGAGGGCAGGGTCCAGGGCAGCGTGTGTCAAAGGCCAGGCGTCATCAGCTCCTGTGGCTGGGAGCACCCATGAGGCCCGGCTCTGGCCCCGTCTGTTCCCAGCCCTGGAGACCCAGCATCCTGGCCTTGCAGGAGCTTCGGGCAGACTTTCCTTCACGTGCTGGGCTTCTTTCTTGCATCTCAGGTCTGCGCCTGCCAGGTTCGGGCCACGGGCAAAATGTACGCGTGCAAGCGCTTGGAGAAGAAGAGGATCAAAAAGAGGAAGGGGGAGTCCATGGCCCTCAATGAGAAGCAGATCCTAGAGAAGGTCAACAGTCAGTTTGTGGTGAGTGTCCCGGCCCAGGCACAGGCCACCCTTCTGGTGACCAGGGCCTCTGTCCCTTGGGAAGGGGGTGGTCCTCCAATGTGACAGGTCCTCAGAAAGGCAGCCAGATGCTCCCTCCATCACAAGGCACCTCATGGTCACTTGTGGCTGACTTTATCCTGTTGTTGGAGCTGGCCTGGCTGCCCTCGGCCAAGTGAGGCCAAGCCTTCTGTTAACTCCTCAGTGGACAAAGCAAGCCCACCCTGGGCCCAGCCAAGGAGCTTTGTTTCCACAGCCCCCGGTGGGCTGCTTTCATCACAGTGAGACCTTGGTGTCAGTGACTTAGAGAGCTCCCTTGTGTTTATATCTGTTTGTTACTCCATCTGGGCTGGGCTCTGCCACAGTGACAAATTATTCCCCAGCTCCCAGTAGGTGCAAACAACAAAGGCTGTTCTGCCACTCACATAGAGCCCAGAACGATTGGCCAACCTTCTTCGGCTTACAGCTACCCCATCCACAGTCTGGAAAGTGAGTGCTGGGGGTCTGCACAGGGACCTCCACTGCCTCGGCTGGGGTGACATCCTCACTTCCGCCCACGGTCCATTGGCCAGAACCAGTCACTACAAGGGATGAGCCAGCCACAGGGACACAGGGAAATGTGGGTGTTTGGTCAGCTCTAAGTGTCTCTGCCACTGGTTATTATAAAAATTAGTATATGCACAGGTGAAAATCCAACCAGCGCAGACAGGTACAAAATAAAAACAAAAGCCTGCCTGTTTGAGTAACCATTCCAATGTGTTTGATTCATGTACACGGTTTATTACTTTTAGCCAGTGGGATCTTACTACCAATTGTATGTTGCCATATTTTTCGCCTTAAATTATAGATCTTTTTCTCTATCCAGACCTAGAGCTGTACCTCTCTTTTAAGCTGTGCTCCGTTCCCCTGAAATACAGGGAAGAGATAAACCGTAACCTGTGCAACCAGCCCCCCCAGATAGATTGTCCCTGGTTCTTAAGCTGCTGCAAACAAGGCGGCTGTGTCGCTCCTTGGACGTCTTTGGCACAGTTGTGAGCGTGTCTGTAGGGTGTGCTCCTACTGGGGGAATTGCTGTGTCAGAGGGTGTGTGCATTCCCATTTGGCAGCTGTCCCTAAATGGCTTTCCATGAAGGTCACTCCAATTAAACTTCCACCAGCTGCGTGTGAGGGCAAGAGATGCCGTCAACCTAGTGCTTCCGTCATTCTCCAGGGAGGAGGGGGTTTTATAAGGTGATGCTCAGAGGGAACAGAAGTGTGTGTCTCTGAGTCTCGTCCCAGGCTGCCCCCACTGCCAGCCGCGTGCAGGGTGAAGGTGTGGGCAGTGCAGTGGTGTTGTGTAGAAGGTGGCGGACAGGCTAACACCAGCCATCATTTGGGCCCTAGGCTTCTTTGAGTCCAGAACCTTCCTCTGTGCTGCCAGCCTCCTTTAGGAGGGACCACTGGTCACTACCTCAATGCTGCCCATGGAGCCCTTGTCACTAAAGGAAGGGGCAGTGCTGGTTCTGGTCAGGGTTGGTGATGGTGGGACCTGCTTGGGGAAAAGGGCCATATACTTGACAAACCAGGGATGGCACACGTTCAAGGGCCTGGATCTTGCTCGACTGTGCCCCGCCCGGTGCCCCCTGGCAGGGAGTTCCCACAGTGCCCTTCCTCAGCCATCACCTGGGCAGGTGTGGGAGGGAGGGGCAGCAGCAGCAGTTGGCACCGGAGCACGGTCCTCAGAGCTCTCCTACCCGCGGCCGCCATTCTGTCTCCTGTCCTTGGAAATAGCTCCTGTGGTTCCTGACATTTGCATGCAAGTTTTATGGCCCACCCTGTCCCCAGCCTGGCCCATGGTGGCCAGATTTCATTGGTACCAGCTCCCTAAGTGGAGAAGGACGAGTACCGCCCAGTGGGACCTGCTGAGACCCTGCCCTGCCCCTCTCCCACCGCCGCATGGCCTCCGTCCTTGGCCACTCGGGTGGCTGGTCCCCGCCAGCAGGGACTAGATCCTCTCTGTTGATGGTCCCTTTGACCAGGCACATCCTGCATGCAAGAGGACGCAGTCTTTGCCAAGCTATGTTCCACTTCACGAAACCCCACTGTCGCTGCAGTAGTGAGCCCTGAGCCCCGAGGGCATCTGGACCTTGCTTTTCTTGACTGGCCAACAAGGCCACACGTCGTTTTCACCATCTGATGCACACACACATGCTTTTGTGGTGTGAACGCACGGACACCGTCCTGTTGGGACCCCTGAGAGGGCAGGGTCCTGGCGTGTCCTCCCCCCTTGCCTCCTCCCCTGGAACCACTGAACTGGAAGGAGTGAGTCCTTCAGCAGCCGAGAGGGGCAGTGGGCAGGGGCCCCTGAGGCCATCTGGGTGCAGGGGTGGCATGAAGGTGCTGCAGCTCCCCCACCCAACCCTCCCACAGCTTCGAGGACCCTGGGGAGGAAGAGCCGAAGCAGGGGCAGCCGCAGAACCTCACCATGATGCTGTCTCTGCTCCCAGGTCAACCTGGCCTATGCCTACGAGACCAAGGACGCCCTGTGCTTGGTTCTGACCATCATGAACGGGGGCGACCTGAAGTTCCACATCTACAACATGGGTAACCCCGGCTTCGATGAGGAGCGGGCCTTGTTCTACGCGGCGGAGATCCTGTGCGGCTTGGAGGACCTGCACCGCGAGAACACCATCTACAGGTGCGTGGACGGCTGCCCCCTTCCCTGTTGAGGTCTGAGTGTGAGGGGGCCGACCCTGCTACACCCTGGATCTGCGGTCATCCCGCCCCGGGACTCAGGCCTGGTCATCACCCTTGTGGGTGACGGTGCTTGAGTCGGGCAGACTCCCACTCTGGAACCGAGTAAATGAGGTGGGCTGCTTAGCGGGGGCCAGGTGTGTGAAGTGATGCTCCCTCAAATTTGATGAGGATGGGCCATGGCCCCTGGTCCCCTCCAACCCAGCACCTCGGGAAGCTCCGTGGAGCCTGGTGGCCGTGATCTGGCCAGGCCTGGGAAGACTTTGGTAGGCCCACCATCACGGCAGACGTCAGAATGGACTCTGTCCGTCCCACAGCGTCCACCTTTCTAGGGCCAGGTGTCCAGGTTCTGGGGGCAGTGGCCTTCAAACTTGCCTCGCAACCCTCCTCAAAGAATTTTGAAAGTCTCTGTGCCCTCATACATTCTAAGTGGGCATCTGAAATAGTCCATCACATGTTTAAATAGTGGCTAAGATTGCTATTTTGAAACTGGAACGGTGACATCACATTTTTAAAGGTAACCAGTGGAATCTAATTGCCGTAGCAAATTGATTTCCACCGTCATCCATCTAAAAAAATGCGTGAAAACTCTTTAATGGTGAGGAATTTCCTATCATTTTCTTCTCTACTCTCCTCCCCACAGAATGTTATTGTAAGGTAATATAGTTTTTGCCTAAAAGTCTTTCATTGATCAGCATTCGGTGTTAAAATAATTTCTTCTGTTGAGTTGCCATTATAATTATTATTGGTAGACCCAGTTCTGGGCAGGCCCCTGGGGTGCTGACACCCTGGAGCAGGGCACCATACTAATATTCAGGAGGGAGGAGGAGCCTGATTTACTCCTTGAGTTGGGGAAGAGAGCTATTGAGAAAGGGCGGGTGGGAGGGGAGAGCTGAAAGGATGCCAGGACAGGGCACTGTGATGTTAAGGGTCCAGAAATGGGTCCACTGGAACCCGGCAGCCAGCACACCCCCTCCCCCCCTTTGGAGAACTTTGGCCTGGAGCTTCTGGCAGAGAGCATCTTGGGAGCCCAAGAAGGTTTTGAAAACAAGAAGGAATGGTCTTAGGACATGCCCTGCCCTCCACACCATCTCCCCATTTGTGCTTTGGTTTTCCTTCAAGGGAGAAGATAGAAACATTTCCCTAAGGGTTGAAAAGAGAATTCAGCACTCGATTGCCTTTCATTTAAAAAAAAAAACCGAACAGGTGGCCCTCCAAGTCCAGCTCCTCTTCTAGGGAGGAGGAGAAACACAGGCCTCTCTGGCCCCAGCTGCTTGCCCTGGCCTCTAGGTGGAGTTGGGTTCTGGCCCACGCCCACTAGCTCTCACCAACCTGGTGGCCCCTGCTTTATTGAGATGAGGGCTCCTGCCCTCATTTGGAGTTAACACATCAAAAGAGTGCAAATGAAACAGCAACAAAAGTATTTTGTAATAAGTAACTACGTATAAATACCAATTATCACTTTGTGCGTTGCCCCACAGGATTTGGGTACATTAACCACTCCCCATGAGGACAGCTGCCATCAGTTAAATAAACAAAGCCAGTTGTGGAGAGTCAGAGCTTCAGTCCAGATGCTGTGTATTGTTTGCCCGACGGCTTAACTGAGTTGCACACACTATTGTATTGGCTTCTCTTTTACACGTGGAGAAGACCTTTTACTAGTAAAACCACACGCTTCTGCCGCCTCTCTCCCCTGCTGAGAGTGGAGAAGTTCCCTTTCTTGTGAGCATGCTTATGTCATCAAAGAGAGGAGAGACAGGGACAGGAGGAGGTGGCTGCACCTACAGCTGTGCCTTCTGGCTGTGCTTTCTCCCAGGCTGTAGCTCAGCTGGAGTTGGGGAATGTGCCAGGCTTCTGGGGGCCCCATCCCAAAGGCGTCCTTCTCCTGGGGTTGCCATCCTCTCCCCTACCATTCTCTGCCCAAATCTGCAGCTTCCGCTTTGTTCTTAGTAACTTCCCTTTCTTCTTTCCCAGGCCCTGCTCTGCCCTCAGGGCATCCCAGAGCATCCTGAGACCTCAGGGTCTTCCCAGCCCTGGAGGGTTCTGTTACCACATCCTCCAGAAGTATTCTCAGCCCCAGGGGCTGTCAGCATATGGACAGGTGCCAGGACTGGCCTGGGCCTAACCTCCTTCCCAGTCACCCTCCAGAGTCGGGAAGATGCCTATGGCAAACAGTAGCATTTGTTTTAAATTACTAGGAGAGAAGTTAGCCCAAGATTGTCTTGACCCAGAGAGAGACCAGACAGCCTGAGCCAAGAGACGGGAAGGAAGCACTCAGGCCTGGTTGGCCCAAAGGGGTCATCCCAGATGTCCTTAGGCCCTCGCTGCCCGGAATGCCCACACTCACATGCTCGTAATCTTTCCCTTTCAGAGATTTGAAACCTGAAAACATCCTGCTGGACGATTATGGTAAGTCAGGGAGCAGCCCGGGAGATCCTTTTCCAGCTTTGTAGCCGAGGTGAGCATCGCAACCCACAGGGAGCAGGGGGCCTCCCAGCGGAGACTCTCAGAAGCACCGACCCTGGGCCCGCGGGAGGGCAGTGGGCAGGTAGGGGAGGACCCGCTCCCACTCCTCAGTCCTGGGTACCTGGGAAGGCAGTGGGCATGGATACCGCTCCTTCTTGGTGGAGAAGCAGTGTGGCTCGGTCAAGAGAGAGAGAGAGCACTGAGTGAGGAGTCCAGAATTTCAGATACTGGGCAAATACTTAACTCTCACACAACTTCTCTGCACCTCGTCTTCCTTGTGTGGGAAATGGAAACAGTGGGTCCTGCCCTGCCTGCCTCAGAGGGTAGAGGGTGGTGGCGAGGTTCTGGCAAGGGAGACCGAGGGGAAATTGCTTTGTCAACTACGGCCAGCTGTGGCTGTGTCAGGGGTTGTCATTGGTGCATCACCGTTGTTACTTTCCTGTGTGTGTGTGTGCATGTGCGTGTACACACCTGGATGAACAGCTACAGTGACCTTTCACAACTGTGTAGCCCGTCACGCCTGGGAAATGGCTTTCACATCTTTTGCACATCTTTCGTCTGACTAGATCTTCCCTCTTCACTGAGGGGCAGGGCCCACATCCCTGCACCCATTTTACAGATGACAAGATTGAGGCTCAGAGGAGCCAACCCACCAGAGTCACCCAGCAATATCAGTGGGGAGCCGAGGCCAGAAGACAGGTGTCCCCCGCAGCATGCCCCAGACCCCAGGCAGCCGCGGGCAGAGGGCAGGAGGAAGGGGAGGCGGGTCGTTGGTGACCTGGAGAGAGGTTTGAGTGAGATGCTACCAAGTAGAGGGACAGGCAGAGGGCCCAGGGCCCCCCGCCCCTCTCGGACGAGCCCAATGCCCTTAGGGTACCCTGCTGGTCTCAGAATCGTGCCCACCGCTGACCTGTGGCCCAACAGCTGGATCTGCGTGCTTTTTTCCCTGGGTCCTGCCTTTGTCAGGGGCTGCTAAGCAGGGGAGTCCATACAGCTTGGCCTGGCGGGGGCCCTGGCATTGGGCCTGGCTGAGGTCCGTACTGTGGGGCCCTGGCGTCCGTAGATGGGGAAGAGGGCAGTGTTCCTTCCTGTGGGGTCAGATGTGGCCGTGTTCCCCAGGGTGGGCCGCCAGGCAGACAACGGTGGGGCACAGCTCTCAGCGTGGTATCTCTTTGGCCTTCATGGGTCAGTCCTGAATGGGCATCCACTTCCATCTTCCAGTCTCTGCAGGGCCCAGATGTCTTCCCTTCTTGTTTCTCCAAAGGGAGAAAATTAACAACCTCCAAAGACCAACAAGGCAGGACAGGGAGCTGCTTCCCAAATTGCTTTGTAATTTTCCCCCATAGGCAAATGGTTGGAAAATGTCAGGAGAATCTCACATTTTTCCCATGAAGCAATCCCAGAATCAGGCCAAGGCGTTTTGAACTTTGTGACTTGGGCTTTCCGAGAAGTTCATTAGGGCATTTTATGAGCAGGTCGGCCATTTTCCAGCCAAATCTGGGCGTCCTTTTGCATCTTTGTGTTTCTCCTGCAAAGTAGTGATTTACCCACATCCTCTGACACCTGGACCCTCTCAAGGGTCCACACTTGCCCTGAGATGGCGGGTGGGGATCCCAGTCTTCATGGGACAGAAGAAAATGCAAGGGCCTGCGTGTCTTGCCCAGGGGCATGCAGCAAATCTCGGCCCTACCCAGGGTGGGCCAAATGTCCAGGCCACCGAACCAAGAACCCGCTGACTCTGCTCTCTCCCCTCAGGCCACATTAGGATCTCAGACCTGGGTCTGGCCGTGAAGATCCCCGAGGGAGACCTGATTCGAGGCCGCGTGGGCACCGTCGGCTACATGGGTGAGTGAGGGTACGGCCCCTCCCCAAGCCCACCCCTCAGAGCCCCTGGGCTCTTTGTGCAACATGCATCAGAAGTGGAGTCACAGCGGGAGGTGGGCGTTCTTAGCCAGGGTGGGGAGCATCGGGGCCCCAGGGAGCGACTTGACTGATACGAGCTCTCTGCAGCCCCCATCCCCAGTGCCACCTGCATCTCAAAGCCAAGCCACTCTCGGGGTCAGTGGCCAGAACTGGCAGGCAGTGCTGCTTGTGAGGAGGTGAAATAGGGGTCTGGTGAGTTGGCAGACAGCCTTCAGGGAGACCCCTGAGAGGAGACATGCCATTAGGAAGGGCTCTAAAAGGAGAGGAGCACACCTATGACACAGCATCTGTGTGTCACCAAGCACAATCCTAAGGAGACACCACCTCCCCTGAGGCTCCTCGGAGACCCTGGTCCTTGGGGCTGCGGGGAAGAGAACTGGAGCCACACCCAGTCCCCTGGAACCCTCCTTCTGATCAGGGACATCCCCTGGGCTTCCTCCTGCACACCTCACACACATGTGCCCACTCACCCCAGGATGCAGGGGCCTCTGGAAAGCTCTAGGGGCCAGGGGTCTTGCTGCCCTCTGCCAGGTGTGTGCCAACAGCACATACATAGGATTCCTTCCTTTGTCCTTTTCAGAGGGTCCTTTTCAGATTGCACAACATTTGGGAACCCTGGGGTGTGTGTCTGTGTGTATGTCCATGTGAACCCTAATAGACGGATGGATGGATGATAGACAGATTATGGATATAGATAAATGGTTGGTGGATAGATGATTGGTGATAGATGGATGGGTGGATGGGTTGATAGATGGGCAGATGGATAGATAGATCAATGGATAATAGATAGATTGGTCTATCTGTGCACCTTTGTGTACATCTGCGTCCGTCCTCTCTTGTGCGGAGTTTTGCACACGTCTGTTTGCATGGCCTGTATTGTGTGCAGACTGGTACATGTGTGGATTCTTTGCCTCTGAATGTTTGTGGCCTGCCTGATGACATGGAACTCTCTGTTGCATTTCTGTGGTGAATCCATAATTCATTTTATCAAAGTAGTAGGCGTGTCATAGTGAGTGGCTTTGTGAATTCCAGATAAATTTAAAATCATCTTTAATTTGGGTGGACACACCTTCATTCATTGATAGGAATATGTGTGTAGCACCTACCCTGTGCCAGGTGTCGTACCTGTCATTAGGGACACAGCAGTGAGTAAGGCAACTCACATTCTAGTGGGGGAAACAGCAAGGGAACAGGCCACTTCCATCCACTGTGGTCAAGGTTCTGAAGCCATTGTCAGAGTTCTTCAGGAACACTGAGGGGAGTGATCAGGGCAGGCTCCCTGGAGGAGGTGGCATTTACAACAGCTGAGGGAAAGAGTGTCCCAGCCATGAAGCTCCAGGCCTTCTGTGAGCAATGCCGTCGCTCCTTGGAGCAGGACTCCTGAGGCCCGGGTGGCATGAGTCACAGCCCTGACTCCATGCACCCAGGCTCTGTCCTGCCACCAGCTGTCTCTCAGCTCCCCTCGCTCCCCTCTTCCACCCCCAGCTCCGGAGGTCCTGAACAACCAGAGGTATGGCCTGAGCCCCGACTACTGGGGTCTGGGCTGCCTCATCTACGAGATGATTGAGGGCCAGTCGCCATTCCGCGGCCGCAAGGAGAAGGTGAAGAGGGAAGAGGTGGACCGCCGCGTCCTGGAGACCGAGGAGGTGTACTCCCGCAAGTTCTCCGACGAGGCCAAGTCCATCTGCAAAATGGTGAGCTCCAGGGGAGCCAGGCCTGCCCAGGCGACTCCCCTGCAGGACAGCAACTGACTCAAGGGGACTGGGTCAGGGCACACGAGGGTGTGCGCGGGGAAGCCACCAAGCCAGAGGAGCAGACGCTCCTGGCTGCTGTGGACCACGGTGGTCTGCAAAGACTTCTGGGAGAAATCCTGGGGTGGCAGGGCAGCCCCCTGACAAGGAACAAGGACTGAGGTGAGCAGCGTGGCACCCTCACATCCGGCACGGGAGGGAAGGAGATGATCCCAGTTGGTGCCCCAGATATGAAGGGATCATGGGGCAGCCCCTGCCCCTGGCCTTGGGCCTCCTGCTCCCTCCAGCTCCGGACCCGGGGCACTGGCTTGAGGCCAGGGGTGAGGCGGTGGGTGGTGAGACTTCAGTCTTTAAACATCTCGTAGCAGAGTTTTCCATCCGCTAGATGAATGCTGGTCCCACCAGCTCGCGTCCTGCCTGACAGCATCTGCAGATAGTGAGATTTGACCCATCCATGGGCAGGGCGCATGTGGGAGTGACCTTCAGACAGGCTGGGTGTGCGGGGCCAGATTGGGGCCTGGAAGCCAGAGGAAGGAGTGACAGGAGCCACCAAGAGTGGAGCTGGGAGAGAGTCCAACCTGGACCCCTCCCTTCCCCTCGGCCCAGGTGGGCTCACTCCTGGCCAGGGGCTTTGTGGGGAGATGGCCACTGCCCGCTCCTGTCCACTCTCAGGCTCCTAGATCCCACCCGTGGCTCCTTGGGGCCTCCTCCCCCTGATGCCAGACACAGCTTTGCTCACCCCACCGCAGGCAGCTGCCGCGTGCTGCCAGCCACAGGGCAGCTCCACGCACCTGTGAGCCCACGACTTCCTTCCTCTCCCTGGAGCGCTGCTGCACCTGGAGCAGCAGACGGGAGGCTGGACCTGGGTGGGGGCTGCCCTCCCGCCCCGCTCTGAGTCGTGTGCATGAACAACCAGGCTAGAGTGTAAAGAACAGGCCCAGGGAGCTGAGTAAGAGAGCGAAGCTTCTGTTTCCAGAAAACCCGTGTCTGCACTGCTAGGGTCCGGGAACCGTCTGGTGTAGCTCCCCACCCGGGAGGCCCCTCTCCTGGAGCCGTTCAGCTGCTGCTTGACCACTTCCTCTCACCAGCTTCAGTCTGACGTCACAGAGCCATGGGGGGGCCATATCTGCCATCTGACCACTTCCAAAAGAGGAGAACCACAGATCTGTCATTTACATGTGTGAGAGACACCGCGGGAGGGACAGTGTGCACACTAGCAAACACACCCCCAGCCACATGGCCTGGGGGCCAGCCCACAGCTGAGCACTTGCCCATGTGCCTGCAGCCTCCGTGAAACCCAAGTAGTCACGGCAGCCAGAGTTGGGGTTGGGGGCCAGGAGGAGCAAGGCAGCAAAAGGCAGGTAATGTGGGGTCCTAGGGATGTTTGATAATGGGGGGTGGGGGATGCCAACAATCCTTGGTTGTGTCGCAGTGAGGTGTCTATCCAGTGGTGTCAAAGTGGACAAGGGATGGAAGAGGGAGGCGCAAGCATCATCACGTGACCCCGATCAGGGCCAGGGATTCAGAGAAGTAGGTTGTGAGAGACCCCAATAGGGACATGGGACGTGCTGAGAGGACAGAGAGGCAGAAAGGGCCCCCTCCCTGCCCGCAGAGACCCGCTTTGTCATCCGACTCTGGGGTGCCAGGACTGGGGCACTGCTGTCTCTCTGCTGCCCCCTGGTGGCCACCAAGGGAAAGGCGGTGGCCCAGCCTAGGACTCCGGGTGGACCTGGGCCCCTTGGCGCTAAGTGTCAAACCAACGTCCCCTAATCTTTATTCGCTGGAAGAATCCCCGGGATCCTCTAGCCTTGCTCCATCTTCTTACAAATGACCCTGGGGTCTTGGGATTCTGGTCTTGGGCTTCCTTTGTGCCCTTAACCACAGCCCGTCTGGTCTAGCAGCCAGGCTTCCCCTTTCCCCTCCAGTGGACGCCAGCTCAGGACCCTGTAGGGCTTGACCGTAAGGAGACCATGGAGGCCCAGGCCCCACCGGGTAGTTTCTCTGCTCCGGCAGCCCCAGCTCTGCCTGCCAGAGAAGGAGGTCCACAAACAGCAAGGAAGCCAGTCCCTGGACTTCAGATGCCGTTCCCCATTCCATCTTGGCAGCCATGAGACCCTCCTCACTGCCCCTGGGGTCCAGAAATTTGTTCATCTCACTGCCTTGTTCCCTGTGTCCAGTCCCTAGGCCCAGAGCTCAGCCCCACCTTCCGTAGGCCCCTGCTGAGTCCTAGAACTGGTCTTTCCCCACGCCCTGCAGCTTCCTCCCTCTGGCCCTGCAGCCATCTCAGCCTTGCTCGTTCTTGCAGCCCATCTCTAGTCTTCCTCCTCCAGGAAGCCTGCTCTGCCTGCCTCCCTTGCCCACCTCACACCATCTCTCCCTCTCGCTTCTCCTGATGTACACCTGACATCATGGTTCAAACTTTTTACCTGATACGCAGGTGGCGAACAGGCCACGTTGTAGGTGGGTGTTTAGTTTTGCCTGCACAGTGTTTTAGAAACGGACGGATGGTGGGCTAATTGCCAAGATTTAAAATTGGGGAGATTTCACATAAACACCTGGATTTTATGTCTTCTCTTGAAAAGAGCAGAAGCCCTGGGCACTGACTGACATTCCTGCCTGTCAGGAGCTGATGGGCAGCCAGGCATGGCCCACCCAACCCTCCCCTTGCCTTTACCGCCCTCATTTGTGTCATCTGTCTAGCCAGCCCTGCAGGCTCTGGGGTCTGCAGCTGGGAGGTCCAGCCCCTGAATGAGGAGTCCTGCTTCTTTGGGATTTCTCAGAACAGGCAGGAGCCCAGGCCCAGCAGAGCCTGGTTCCTGAAGCCTTTGTGGAAAGGCAAAGTCCCGGGAGAAGAGAAGTGGAGGCCCTGAGCCACCAGCCCATGGGCAGAACACCTGGGTGGTCGGTGGACCAGGAGATGACACCATAAGGGACCCTCTCGTGACTTAGTCCTCTCCAGGCTGACCTGGTGCTTGCCCTGCTGCCACCTGTGATTCCTTTGTATGAGGGGGCTTGGGGCTCAGTCCCTGTGAGCCTCTCCCTCCAGACCGTGAGCCCCAGGAGGCCCACCTGCCTGCCGGCTCTCCATTGCACCCCCCGCCCACTCGGGCCAGCCAGAAATGCATATAAAGGAACGCGAGCAGAGGGCACCAGGGTATTGGCGAAAGAAGGGCTGGACTCCCTTGGAGGTGCAGGCTACCCATCCTGATTTCAATCTCAAAGCAAACAGTAAATTCCAACTGTGTACATGGTGCAGTGCTCCATGGGCAGGGAGAAGAGAGAAGCACAAGGCAGGGATGCTGGGACTGCGGGGAGGGGTCGAGGCTGAGGTTGGTGGGTTGTCTGGTGGCCCTCCCCCAGGGTCTCCCCCTCCTGTCCTCCTGACCTTTGTTCACACCTTCCTCCCCTCTGGCCTGGCTGTCTGCTCCCATTCCAGTGAGGACACTCCTACCCCGACCATCCCTGGCTCCCCACTACCCTGTCCCCCTACCGGACATGGCCATCAGGACCCTCCATCACCTCTCCCTGACCAGTCCCCTTCACCCTGACTCGCCCCTACACTCTCATCCTTCACTGAAACTCAGACAGGTGTTGTCCAAGCCACTCTGCATGTTCCGACCACCCTGCTCTTGCTGGCACAGGTCCCTCCACCTGGTGCCGAACCCACGAACCCGGGCCCCCAAAGTGGAGCCCGCAGAACATTAACTACTGGGCTACTGGGCCGACCCCTCCACCTCCCCGACCTTTTAGAAGCCTGTCTCAAATGCCCCTTCCCCAGGAAGTTCCCCGACCCCCCAGCTGGCAGCCGGTTCCTATCCCTTTGCCACCATGGTGTCGTGTCTGTAACTGCCTTGACGAGTGCTCTGAACGTGATTCCTCTTGGCACTATGGTTGCACCTAGTAGGTCCTAGTGTGCTTGTGAGTTGAGTAACTGATGGAGAGGCCTCCAGGCGTGCGCCCTCCCCTCTGCAGCTCTCCTGGAGCACAAGAGGTAACTCTGACTTGGCAAACGTTGCTGGTGCCCAGAATGCCCCAGGGAGAAACAGACAGGATCCCTGCCCTCTCGAGGCTGCAGGTGTCTGGGCACACGGTGACTGCGGGACCACAGAGCTCGCAGCGGCTCGGGCGGCAACCCTGAAACCAGGCCTGAGCAGGGTCAGGCAGTGTCCGCTGGGTACCTGGGGGGTGGCACAGGCACTGCAGAGGCTGGAAGAGGGACGTCTGGGGCGGCTCAGGGACACACGTGTGACAGGGAGGTGATTGCAGGTTCTCCGAGGCCCCTCTGCCCCTCGGGCCTTTGGGCAGAAGGAGAGGCCCACCAGGCATGGCCTCATGGGGCTCTCTCTTGTCACAGCTGCTCACCAAAGATGCAAAACAGAGGCTGGGCTGCCAGGAGGAGGGGGCCGCGGAGGTTAAGAGGCACCCCTTCTTCAGGAACATGAACTTCAAGCGCTTAGAAGCCGGGATGTTGGACCCTCCCTTTGTTCCAGACGTGAGTAGCCTCGCCCAGCGCGGATTGAGCCTGTGCTCTGATCCTCAGCCTTTGACTTAGTCCAGTGTCCGTCCTGGGCCCTGGGGCATGCGCTGACGAGACCGTGGGCAGGAGGCAGCCCCTCCCCTCCGGGAACACATTGCCAGGTCTGGGGGTCCCTCTGCTCTCATCCTGGAGTCACCTCCTCTCTGAAGCCCTCATCTCCAGAGCTCCAGGCACCCGGAGCCCCTAGGAGGCCTCCCCCACTGACCTTGAACTCCTGGAGGGCGGGGCCGGGCCAGGTTCATCTCTGAGTCCTGGCACAGAGCAGCCCCCAGTGCGCATTTGATGGACGAGTGAGATAAAAGTTATCCCCACCTTAACAACAGCAGCTTGTGGTTTTGGCGCCGAGCGCTTGTGGCAGCCCCGGGCCAGGCGCCTCTGTTATCCCCGCTTTCTAGGTGAGGAAACTGAGGCCTACAGGGGATATGTGACTTTCCCAAAGTTCCTAAGCCCCATAGCTGGGACCACAGCCCAGGCCTCTCCAGCTGCACCCGCCCCCCACCACTGCCCTGTCACGTGACAGGGACCCGCTGAGCGCCTCCTGGGACACCCCCGAGGCACTGTCCTTGGCATGCCCTTGCTCTGGCCATGGTACCCAGCATTTGTTCTGTGGAGAAGTGGACCAGAGGCCACAGAGTGTGGCCCCAAAACAGCCCTCGTTCTGACAGAGACGAGTTTGGAAACATTTCCACCATCCTGATCCTGTGGGCTTTAGGGAAACAAAGAATGTCTGACTGTGGAGGGAGCTTAGGGACAAGTCTTCTGTCGCCCTGCCTCAGCACGCCCTGAAGGAGACGCGGGGTGACCTGCGGGATGTGTCAGGGAGTGACGGCGGGAAGAAGCCCTGGACTCCCGAGCTCTCGTTCCGCCCCGCCAGGGTCCCCTGGCACCTCTGAGAGAGGGCAGCACAGCTTCCCAGGGGAGGGGGGTGGCCTCGGGAAGACCGCCCGTCTGCTCCGCCATCAAAACCCCAAGGCCTGACTGGGGGACATGCGAGTGGGGAGGGCCCCGTGCGACCGAGCGCTCTGCCTCCCTCAGCCCCGAGCCGTGTACTGCAAGGACGTGCTGGACATCGAGCAGTTCTCCACCGTGAAGGGCGTCAACCTGGACCACACGGATGACGACTTCTACTCCAAGTTCTCCACGGGCTCCGTGTCCATCCCGTGGCAGAGCGAGGTGAGCGGGGCGGGGTCGTCGGCTTCACCCTGAAGAGGGGAGTGACGAGGACAGAGAAGGCACTGCTGGGTCAGGCGCCCCGGGGGCCTGGCATGGTGTGGGCTGAGAAGGAGTAAGAGGCGAGACAGACACCACCCGTCTAGATGACTGTGAGAAGTTTGGCTGGGGAAGGAGAGGAAAACGGGGCGGTGGCTGGAGGCACAGTGGAGATGAGTTGCGCAAGGTGGAGCTGGTTCAAATGAGATGGAAATGATCGGGGTGGGGCTGAAGCCCTGAAAAGAGGGAGGGTCTGAGCATGTGGGGTGACCTGGGCTTCAATGAGGTGAAGGAGGAGATGGCGTATCGGTTTGGTGGCTGGAAGATGAGCACACCCCCAGGACGGTTTCTGTTTTCTCAATGAGGGCGGCATGCAGGGCCACCAGGAGAGGCAGCGGGCAAGCGGGGAGCTGGCTGGATCACAGCCCCAGTAAGACGGCACCCTCCTACCAGGGTGGAGGACCTGGTAGGACCAGGTTCAGGGGACGGCATCTGCCCAAGGCTCCGCCGCTGGGATTCCTTTCCACCCAAGATGATGGATGTAACCCCTCATGCCGCATGTCATTTTGCACCACTTTTGCAGATGATAGAAACAGAATGCTTTAAGGAGCTGAACGTGTTCGGACCTAATGGTACCCTCTCACCGGACCTGAACAGAAGTCACCCTCCAGAACCGCCAAAGAAAGGGCTGCTCCAGAGAATCTTCAAGCGTCAGGTGAGAGACCCCCCTCCCGACGCCCAGCTGTCCTGGCTCAGCTCTGGACCCCTGGGCCCAGGCACTTCCACGCGATGGAGACCAGAGCTGCGGAGTTCTATCTCCTTGTGGGGCTCTGGAGACTGGGGGTCAGCAGTGGCCTGGAAGGGACAAGCAGCCTGTGAGAAGACCTCTGAAGCCTACTGGCTGATGGGATCCCTAGGGCAGAAGGGCAGGACCAGCCCAAAGTCCACCCTTCGTCAGAGTTTCTCAGCCTCAGCACTGGTGAGGTTTGGGTTAACACTTTGTCGCGAGGGCTGTCCTGTGCGTTGGGCCGTATTTAGCAGCCTCCCTGGCCTCCACCCACTAGATGCCAGTGGCACCCCATTCCCTACCCCACTCCCATGGTGCCAACCAAAAATGTCTCCAGACATTGCCCAGTGTCCTCTGGGGGCAAAATGCCCCTGGCTGAGAACCACTGCCCTGCATGGCCATTATAAAGACTAAAGTTATGTAGGTAAAGATTTAACATAATGCAGAACAGGGGACTGTTGGAGAGGTGATCCCCACAGAACCTCGTGGCTCCTGGGCTGGGTTGCTGCCGTGCCCTCCAGCTGGCAGCCAGAGGAGACTGTGCCCCTTGGGAAAAGATGCTCTTCCCTGGATCAAGGATTGGCATGGACCAAATGGAAGAAATGTCCTGGGACGGGCCTGGCAGGCCTGGGAGAGTGAGGCCACCAGGGCCCCCACCTCAAACCCACAACTATGAAGGTGACCACAAAGTGCCTCCTCTTGGCCTGGCCCTTCAAGAAGCCATGGCCCCATTGCCCCCATCCTGGAGCCTGGGAGGCCGCTATTCCTCATGTTCCCCCGCCCCAGGGAGCAGCCCCTCTCAGGACGATGAAGAGGACACCGCAGGTGCAGCTCAGGGCCCCAGACCCCAGGAACCCCAGCTCCCTCCCCCTTTGGTGACAGGGGTGAGGTGGCTGTTCATGGTGCTCCGCTGTGGACCAGGCCCTGTGCTGGGCACTTTTTGAAGGCGTCTCTTGCTTAATCTCCACAAAACCCTGGGCCTTCACTCAACAATTCATTCATTCAACCAATATGTATTGGGTGCCTACTGTGTGCTAGGCTGTTATCTAAGGACTTGAGATGCATCAGCAGGCAAGACTGAGATCCTTCCTGGGCGTCCTAGTGAGGTGTGAGCCCAGGGTGGGCTACCATTACCCCATTTCACAGATGAGGAAACTGAGGCTGGGCAGGATCGGAGATAGCAGGGCAGGGAGCACAAATCAGGCACATGGAGAGAAAATGCAGACTGAGGCTTTGTTGTTGTTTTTTTGCCATTTTTCTAAACGTTTGCCGTTTTATCTAAAAACTTCATGTGAGTTTCACATCCTCGTCCGTAATCTACTCATGTTTGTATACTATAGAAATATCATTTTCAAATGCTTCCATCAAGTAAAATTGAAGTTCCAGAAAGAAATGACCTCCCCCTCCCCATATGTGGCCCAGCGCCAGGACGGCCCCAGGTCCTGGGATGAGCACTTGCTGTGGAGGCTCACGGACCCGGGTTCAGATCCGGCCCTGACCCCTGTTTGGGTGGCAGTTTACTGAACCTCTCCCAGCCTCCATTTGCCCCTCCGAAGGATCGGGTGCCTGGAGCCGGGAAGAGGACTGAGGGAGGTATAGGACGGTGGCCTTCAGCACAGCGCCCGGTGCCACCGCCACCGAGGGAGCAGATGCTCCAGGTGTCTCTCCTTCTCCTCCCTGCAAGGTGAAGGGCCTATGCCCACGGGGATATCAGGGAGTGTCAGGAGTACTGAGAACAAGCCCCTGGTAGAGCCCTTTGCACACACAGCCTCGTTTCATTCTCCCCAGTGCCTGTGCAGAAGCGGCTCCTATTCCACGTTACAGGTGAGGCAACCAGGGGCTTCCGTAGCTTGCCCAAGGTCACTCAGCTAGGAAGTGGCAGACTTAGGATTCGAACCCAGGCAGTCTAACTCCGAGCCTGCAGACTTAACCAATATAGGTATTGTAGGAGGGGCCACTTCTTCCTTGCCTTGGGGTTCTTTTAATTTCATAGCTCTTCCCAGGCACCAGGTAAAGCTCTCGGCCCCAGGAGGTGCCTCTGGACCTGGGTCTGCAGGGGCAGAAGGCCAAGGTCAGCAGAAAGGAAGAGGAGGCACTGGGAAGCAGCCCCTGACCAATGGCTTTCAGACTTTCAGACTCAGGGGCCCCTGTGATGTGTGGGCCCCCGGGCTTGCCTCCGCGAGGACTGACTTGCTTTCTCTCTCCATCTCTCTCTCCTCCCTGCTCATTCCCTCTCAGCATCAGAACAATTCCAAGACTTCGCCCAATTCCAAGACGAGTTTTAACCACCACATAAATTCAAACCATGTCAGTTCAAACTCCACCGGAAGCAGCTAGTTGCGGCTCTGGCCTTGACATCCATGGTGGGACCAGCCCAGACCCTTCTCGTTAGAAGCGGAACTTGGGAGCGGTGGGGTTTCGCTCCAGCTGGAAGCACGGGAGCCTCCAGGAGCCGGGGAAGGAGGCCATTGACCCCCTCGACGCAGAGCCTCTGGTTTCCCCAGAGCTTTCCACTCAGGTCTGTTTCCAGAGGCGGCCCTCAAGCCAGGGTGGATCGGATTGGTCTCTGCCGAACATTGCAATAGGAATCCAATCGGATGCCACAACTTGCACGTATTTTAATAGCGTCATAACTAGAACTGAATTTTGTCTTTATTATTTTTAAAGAAAAGTTTTGTAAATTTCTCTATTGTCTCAGTTTACATTTTGTATATTTGTATTTAAATGAGAGTCAGACTTCGAGGGTGTATATTTTCTGTGCAGCCACTGTTAAGCCATGTGTTGTAGACATTTTAGAGGGGGAGGGGGGATTTACAAAAAAAAAAATGTGACTCAAGACTTCCAGAGCCTCAAATGAGAAAATGTTTTTATTAAATGTAGAAAATGATTCACGTTTCACCTGGAAAGGATTGGTCGTATCCATCTTTATAACCTTTCCCCCGCACTGGTATCACCATGCTATTGGCTTGTAACAACCTGAATTAGATGCTGAAAGACACGTCTGGGACTTCCCCCCCAGCCACAACGTCCTCTGTTGGGGTCCAGGGAGTCGGCTGGGCTGGCTCTGTTGAGATGTGCACTTTTCCTTTAGGGCACACAATGCCATTGAGCCTTTGGCCTCAGCCTCCTCTTCTTTCTGGAAGGTGGCCCGTATGTGGAGCTGGCCATCTTCAGCTCAGTGGTCTCTGGGCCTCTTTCTTTCTGAACACGTTCTGACTGCTAAAGCCAGTATATTTCCAAGAGGCTCATGCTTGGGGATTTTCTTTTATTCTATTTTTAAGAGCAGCATAGTGATGATAAGGACTACTCATGGAACCTCAATTGTCCTTATGGCCCATGGAAGCTTCAGTGAGTGGGGGTCAGTGGACCCCATCCTGAACGAGTCTGGAGCAGGGGAGCCATGGCATGCCTGGGGACTCCCAGCACATTCCTTAAGTGTTTCCAGGGTCACAGGCTCTTGAGAGCTTCACGGGACCCCGAAGATTCGCTGGCCCGGGTGGCACGGGTGGGGTTGGCTCTCTAAGCAAATGGGATGCTTGAGGAGAGCCACGCCACCAAAGAAGCTCAGGACAAGCGCACTGTCACTTCCTAGGAGAGGTGGGGCAAAGATGAGCTCTAATTTGGCATCTCAAAATTTTAGGCACAAGTAGCCCCAGGAAGACTTGGTGGCTTTGCCAGACCAGCGGCCTCCGAAGTCAGTACCTGGGCCTTTGGAGCATGGCCATCCAGTCCCAGGGCCAACTGGCTTCCTGCTGCCGCCTCCATGAGGTGACAAGGAGCAAATCGGCCCTTGCGTCCCCTTCAGGACGGGGTGAGCAGTTGACCTCTGCTCCCCCTCTTGCCTGAGTCCCTGGCGACTGAGTTGGCCTCAGTCAGACCTGGTCTCAGCCACCTGGCAACTGTCGGGGTGTCTCCAGTGTGGGCCCTGCACCACCTGCATCCTGTTAAAATGCAGATTTCTGGGCTCCACCCCCAAGCCCCCGGAAGGGCATTCTCTGGGCGGGGGCCCAGGAAACTGCCTCTTTAGAAAGCCCCCCATATCATTCTGATGTACCTACAGTGTGAGAGCACTGCCTTAGGCATCGGGGGTCTTCCGATGGGGCCATCTGGAGGTGACCCAGGCAGCTCTGGGGACAAGCCCTTAGGGAGGAGAGAGTAGTGAGCATGTCAACCTCATGTCCTGATTTCCATACCCTTTCCCCAAACTTCGCCAGCGGGTCCCGGGGCCTGCTGCCAGAAAAGGGGCCTGACCTTCGGGGCTGATCATTTGAGGTCATTTTGCAAACAAACGGGGGAGAAGAAACATCGGGCTTCCCTCAGATCCTTCAGCGCGCAGTAGGATCTTCTTCAAGACCAGCTCTTGTCTCACAAGGCTGCTTCCGTTACCTTTCTTGGGCCAAATACAAAAAAATACAAACAGCCATATTCAGTTCTTGCCAAGGAAGTGGAAAGCTCTTTGGCCAGTATTTTAAGGTCCCCAAGCTCTTGCTGACTCTCCTCTCTTAATAAAAAGGACAGTCATCTTCCTGGGACAGTCACCAACCCAAGCCACCACCCTCCTGTCCAGAAGTTTCCTCCATTTGACCCAATTCACAGCAACTCAGCCTTCACCAAGGGAACTCGTGTGGAGAAGTAACCTCTTTATGCCTCAAAGCCACGCACTGTCCATTTGCAGTGGAGCGTCCTCAAGGAGCGAGAAAGAAAACAGACATCAGCTCAGTGTGTGTCTGCATCGTGAGAGCGCAAATGATGCTAAAGCACAGGTCTTGGGTGTGACTCTTAAAATAACTGACGTCTTCCTTCACATTCGCCGCCTGTCGCCTGTGAGTGCCCATGGGCTGTGGGGTCAGTCACTGGCCCTTTCAGTCCTGCACTTCCTTTTGGCCCATTGATTTGTACAAGAGAGGGGAACCCTTTCTTTAGAACAGTGCCTGAAAATCAGCGCCCCCTACTGAGTTCCTGAGTCACGGTGGGTCCTGTCCCCACCCCTCACCCCCAGCAGCTGCTTCTACTCCCATTTGTTTTCGATAGCTGCATTTTTTTTTTTTAGAGATTGGCCCTGAGCTAGCATCTGTTGACAATCTTTCTTTTCTTCTTCTTTTCCCCAAATCCCCCCAGTACATAGCTGTACATTCTAGTTGTAGGTCCTTCCAGTTGTGCTATGTGGGACGCCGCCTCAGCATGGCCTGATGAGCGGTGCCATGTCCGTGCCCAGGATCCAAACCGGCGAAACCCTAGGCCTTTGAAGCTGAGTGCGAGAACTCAACCACTCAGCCACGGGCCGGCCCCTATAGCTGCATTTTTTAAAAGATATTTTTAAATTAAAAAAAAAACCTTCCCACCCATCCACCTGTCCAGGATGAGGCATATTTGGACAATGAGTGGATTTGTCTCTTTTTACTGCATTTGAGCTCTTCACACAAGAGCCTTTCTTTCTCCCAGCGTGGCATTTTTCTCACCAGACGGTTGCTGACTTTGTGCCTTTGAGATGAGACGCAGGGTCTTGCAGAAGCGTCTCTGCTTCCACTTTTCAGGAGACAGGCTGCTGTTCCCACTGGGACAGGGGTGGTCTGTGCCGTGATCACCATGACAAGTGTTTATCAAGCCCCCTCGGGGGCTCCCGTAACATCACCCATGCTGTCACGAAGACCCGATCCCCACCTTCACAGAGGATGGCACCACATCTCTCATCAGCTCGTTCCCTACTCTTGCTAGGCCAGTAATATCCCTTTTTAAACCACGAGGCTTCAAGAGCTGCTCGCTGGCACGGTCGCTAAGGATCGCTATGTCTTGAGCAGCTCCAGGAGGGTTTTTTTGTTTCCTGAAATGCACTGCTCTTAGCCAGGGGGACACTCAGTCCTCGCGGGGCTGGCAGAGGGAGGTCATACTTCGCGGAAGAAAGCAGCGTGGCCTTGGTTATACACACACCTGACAGCCCGCTGGGACACATGTCGGTGGGTGAGTTCTGGGGACACGCATGTGGCCACTGCCTTGGCATTGAAGGCACAAGTAGGATGCAGCCACCTGCTCTTGAGCCTAGCAAGCCCTGATGATGCTGGAGACCTGCCCTCTGAGAAGCAGGGGGGCTCTGTGCCTCTCCCGGGAGCCCCACGCACCGTGGAAGCCATGTTTATTCTTCCACACCCTGTCCTTTCCCGAAAGGCTTGGGTCATTGCATTGGCTCGTTTCCCACCAACTTTCTCAAATGAGCCGCTGCCCGGACCTCAGTCCGGAGGGAGCACCGTGGCCTCCTTGAGCCTGGCATCCCAGGCCTTGCTGAAGGGCACAGTTGCCTCGTGGACCACTCGAATTCTCCCAAGATGAAGAGGAAACGCCGTGGGGGTGACATCCAGCTCTCCTCTTGGGCTGTGGGGTGCTCACCTACCCGTGGGAGCACCTGTGCCCTTCCGAGGGCCACCTCCTCCTGCTGTCACCTGCTCTCATAACCTCCCTCTCTGAGATGAGACCTCCTAGCCTTTGTTGTGGAAAGAGAATGAATGTGAGATCTTTGTGCATTTTGAAGCGACAAAGCTGTGAGTCATGAACAGCAGAAAGCTCCCTTCTTTCTCCCCACAACAGACCACGATGGCGAGGCCTCGTCCCCGAGGCCTCTTCCCCTCCTGCTTTCACGGCCGCCCAGCCCGGCTCTGGAAGCCCAGACGTGTGCAGGTCAGGCACAGGTGGCTCGTCTGGTCTGACTTTTAAGGCTTGTGCTGGGGACAGTGGTTTAAAACATCTGAAAAGCTAGCTCTCCCTAGGAGGGAAAGACGCTTCCCAAAAGAAGAATCTAGATGTCTTTCCCCGGTCCATCAATAAGTCATTTTTGTAATAGATCAAAAGCAAATGTTCTCGATTCTAAGAGCTTAGTGGCTGTTGGTAGTGTTAAAATAGTCATCCTTCTAGTATCCAAAGGTTTATATTTTTTTTCAGGGAAATTTTAACATTGATGAATGAAAATAGTTCCATTTGAGGGTCATTCCTGAAGACACCGGCTTTCGTACTCCTGCTGCTCTGAATCTTTGTATGTTCTGTCTAATATGTCACAGTGCTGCTGTATCTTGATCAAACCACTGTTGTTGTTTTTTTAAGAGAAATAAATTCCTTAATGAAAATAACGTTGCGTCTTTCCTCCTGCTGAGCTCTTGTTCTGTTCCTTCCACATGTGACAGTTGCCCCCAAGATGCCACCACCTGCTGCTGCAGCCTTGAGTTCACCCTTCCGTCAAGTGGATGGCTCAGCCCCTCCACTGACCGCCCCCCGACCTGCCCACACATGGCCCAGCTCCAGTGGGCAGGGCCTAAGGATACCACCTGAACCCCCTCCAGGTCGATTTGCTTCTGACCCCAAACCCAGCAGACAGCTCCAGAAGTGTCCCAGCCATGTGGCACCAACCGGACTGGGGTGAGAAGGGCCCTAGTCAATGCTGGCAGCCAGACCCAGACATCAGACAAGACGTTCACACCTCCCCCTGACGTGTGGTATGTGAAAGAGGTCATAACTCAGGCGTGGGCTTTGTAGAGAGGGGCTTCTCTGGCTGTTCAGCCTTCACCGAGCCAGCAACACGCTGGACCTGGGTGACCAGCAGGGCAGGACACAAGTGCCTCAGAACCCAGAGTCCCAGTCTAGGACCTGAGACCCCTTCAGACCCCTTCCCCTGCTTGGCTTGGTGGCAAAAGAATGAGGGGGGCTCTGGGCTCAGACAACCTCTACTGACTGTATGACCTTGAGAGGCCTTAACTCCGAGCCTTGGTATCTTCATCTGTAGAATGGGCTGACACCTGCACAGCGGGGCTACTAGAGGATTCAGGGAGAACACGAGTGACCCGCAGCACAGAGGCCCTTGCCCAGGAGGACACAGTCAGCCCAGTTGTCTCTGGACACCTTTTGATCCTTGACCTCAGGAGGG